TTCTGTCTTACACAGGTTCACCCCGTGATTCTGTCTTACACAGGTTCACCCCGTGATTCTGTCTTACACAGGTTCACCCCGTGATTCTGTCTTACACAGGTTCTTTTGTGGATGGTGCTTGTTGCATTTCATTGTTGACAGCTGAAATAAGTTATAACGTATTGTTGACCGCTAAAATAACTTGTTGACGGCTGAAATAACATATTGTTGACGGCTGAAATAACTTGTTGACACTTTCCAGGGTTTATTTTTTAGTTATGTGTTGCCAGATAGTTGAACAGTGCTGGTATTTGGTGAGATTTTGTTGTTGCTTCCTTTCCTCGTTGCAAGCTGTTAGTGTTTAGTATAGCGCAGAATTGTGCATTCTGCGTGACTGGAGTATAGCGCAGAATTGTGCATTCTGCGTGACTGGAGTGTAGGATCAAAGGAACAAATTTTTACTGTGATGTTTCTATTCTGTTGTGGTTACTTGTGATTATATTGTTGTATATTATTCTTTCTCAGTGTGCTTTTATCTGAGCAACGTAGCTTTTCCTTTTCAAACTGACGAGAAAATTATCCAAATATATCATGCACTAACAGAACTTTGTGCACCGTGATCTCATGTGGCGGAGGGGACATTCTGAGACGAATGAATGTCTCGTTTCTTTTGGGCCCACTCCATCTTTTCTGTAGGAGCTTCACAATAAAATATACGAGGCAACGTTTTGAAATCAAGCGCTCGTCAAAATAACAATATCGGAGAAACAGGCACTTTTACGTCCATTTGGTCATTTTTATCGAATTTGTATTTTTTGGCTTAAGCTCTTTCATGTCCATATAAAAACAGATTTTCATGTGAATTTTACTGAAAAACGTCGGTTAAAGGCACAAAATATTCATTTTTCAATTTTGAAAGACTTTAGCTATTGAAGTTACCAAACTTACTGTAGCGGCCATTTTCTCACTAATTTCGCCACTGAAACCAGGCGACCTAATTTACTTCAATCACAAATATCTACCGGGTTCTGTCCAAGATAAATGGATATTTATGTCATTGGAAGCAAGGCAAATAAATCAAGCTTTCAGATGATACCAATAACTGGGCATGCCCAATAATTGACGAGCGCCTGCTTCCAGCCTGTTGTGACACATATGATCTACGTCAAGGTGTCATGTTAACTGGCGTTCTCAGTGTACAACAATCTTTTCAAACACAATTTGACAGGATATGTGGGTGGTTGGTGGGTGCTCTGGTGTGGTTTGCTCTTTCTCTCTTATCAAACATCTGTTGTCCGTATCTGCCCTCGTTCTTTCTTTGTGTTTTTTACTCTCAAGTAGAAAATAGAAATGCTATTTATTAATATTATTATTACCTCTGATCTTCGGCACTTATATGATCAATTGTGTTGCGAGTGCCGTAAAACTCTTACTGTGGGTGGTTGGCGGGTGATCTGGTGTAGTTTGCTCCTTCTTTCCTATCAAACATCTATCATCCTTATCTCCCCTTGTTCTTTTTTATGTTTGTTACTCTCTTGTAACACCTTTAATCTTCTGGCGCTCATATGACCTTATGCAGTTGCGAGCGCCGTAAAACCTCTACTAAAACTAAATCTAATCTTCGGCACTTATATGGCCTTATTGTGTTGGCAGTGCCGTAAGACTCTTGCTACAACCAAACAGACAGATGACATGCAGGCTGTGTTTGTTTGTGCTCCCCTCCAGGCTCCCGCTGCTCAGCTGGCCGCCACGTTGCCACAAGCAGGGAAACTGGCTGCGTCGTCACTGGCGGGGAATATGGCCGCCGCATCTTCATCACAAGCTGCTGGGAATATGGCTGGCGGTTCATCGTCACAAGCTGCTGGGAATATGGCCAGCGGTTCATCATCACAAGCTGCTGGGAAGGTGGCGGCGTCTGCTCAAGGGGCGAGTGCTTCCATAGTGGTGCTGTCCCAACAAGCCGCGTCCACTCAGCAGCTGGTGTTTCAGCAGATGGGCCGATGCTTGTGAGTGGTCGCCCCTTCCTCTTATCTGTGGCCCCTACCTCTTATCTGTCGCCCTTACCTCTTATCTGAGTGGTCGCCCCTACCTCTTATCTGTCGCCCCTACCTCTTTATCTGAGTGGTCGCCCCTACCTCTTATCTGTCGCCCCTACCTTTTATCTGAGTGGTCGCCCCTACCTCTTATCTGAGTGGTGGCCCCTACCTCTTATCTGTCGCCCCTACCTCTTATCTGTCGCCCCTACCTCTTATCTGAGTGGTGGCCTTGACTCTCTCCCTACTCTTTCTGTGTGTGAGTGATGGCCTTGACTCTCTCCCTACTCTTTCTGTGTGTGAGTGGTGGCCTTGACTCTCTCCCTACTCTTTCTGTGTGTGAGTGGTGGCCTTGACTCTCTCCCTACTCTTTCTGTGTGTGAGTGGTGGCCTT